AATCCCGCGCGAATTAAGTGTTTCCGTTATCATCAGAGACTCTCCAAAGAAAATAACGAATAATAATTTTTTTAATATTACAATCGAAGGAAAAAAAATAATAGCAATAGATTTGAGGCCGAAGCCGTTTTGTTTCTTGTCCCTTCTTGTTGTCCTTCTCTTCCGTCAAACTCAAGCTAAAAAGACTTCCTAATAGTCTAGAATCCTAGTTTATATGAACTTTTCTAATCTAACAGATTTCCTAATAAAAATAGTTTCCTCATAGTACTCAACTACTAAATAGAAAAAGACAATAATTATTCCAGTATAGTTTCGGACTTGGAATCCACCATTCTTTGGAAACTGCCACCGTACGCGTGAAATCCCGAATTCTCTAGATTTGACAGTAATTCTTGGAAAATTACCCCTTTTATCCACGTGTCTCGAACATTGCATGTCTCTCCTCACCTTCTTCAGTTCTTTGCGCAAATATTCATTAATTTAGTGTTTGTCGTTAAGCAAATTCCCTCAACTGCTGTGATTATCCTTCATAAATGTATCATAGTTAGTAATTGTTGGTAACGTAAATGTATAATACATATTGTATGTATCATTTACAAATGTTAAGTGTTTTAATAAATTTATTTTCTAGGTCACAGGTATAAAAGTTAAGGTTGTACTAATGTAGCATAATCTTTGAAAATTATAGTAAATTTACCCATATATTAAGTTTTGTGAGTTTCAAATATATTTTGTATCATTTACAATATGGATTTATATGCACATTTTTATCAAAATTATTTTTAATTGGCAAATAGTATGTAAATTATTATAAAATGTCATTTTATAATAATCATAATTTTTATAGGTTGATGGTATATAAACTGCTAAAATTGTCAATTTATAAATGAGTAAATCTTACTACTTTATGGCATATTTTCCTTAATTAAATGTACGTTGGTTGTTAATTTGAAAATTGCATCCCTGTCACTATTTCATTATTACTACCACAAGTTTTTCTAATCAAAGTAAAACAAAATCAAATATCTATTCCTTTTAATATGCAGTATTTATGTTTAGTAAAAAATTAATAAACCATGATTACATTTCATAATTTCTAATGAAATTAGTAACATTTTCTAAATAAATTAGAATAATTTGTAATATATGTTATTTTTTTTACCAATATAATCAAAAGAAATTTGTACTCTTAAAAAGCAAATGGGAAGAAAGGACGATGGTATAAATATAAATGTGAGCAACTATATGCATATCACACCATGAGTTTAGGTTTGATTTGTTCAAAACAACGGTAATTTATTTGTTATTAGATATAAAATGCATATTATTTTTCTGCATATGAAAAATACAATTTCATATATACTAACCATTAACAGAATATGTAGTTTGAACACGATCAATTGAACTCATATTTCATTTGTTTAGTTATCATTTATTTAGTTACTTAGGTTGAATATTTACATTTGAATAGAGTATTGATATCAGAGCTTCAATTATTCCCAATGACACTAATTTTGTGCTGATAAAAGTTGGTCTAGACAATTAAGTGTCAATGACAACAATTGCTAGAATATATTTTTTTAAATTTTTTTTGAAAATTAACAAAAAAATTACACTTTTTTTGTGAAAATATCAAATTGTTAATTCAATTCAAATTAATTTTATAATAAAAAATGTTATTCCTCAAAGTAGTTGCTTAATTTGTATCTATGCCCGTACTAGTGTCGAATGGATAACTAAAATAGGAAATTGCAACAAAAAATAATGTTACAATAAAGGTGTAAATAGGTAGGACTTTTGCTAATTTTAACCCAAAATGATAAAAAAAAAAAGATAGGCTTTTTTGTTGTTTTGAATTCAAAAGTGTTGTGGTTGTGATAGAATTCTTTGTTAAAATTTGAAACAGTTCAGAATTCCAGAGATAAGTGACAAGGTGATTTTTTATTTAAATATGGAAATTTTTTACTTTTAGTATTAGTAAGTTTAATTTAAACAAAAGTAAATTTTGTCAAATAATAAGTAAGTTAAATTACTCAAAGTGTAAATTTCTATTTCTGACTAAAACTTATCTTTCAGGCATATACTTACTAGTTTTAATTAAAAACTTACTAAAATTAATATTAATTAGTTTAATATAATATTTAAAAAGTTGCTAAAAAACTTGATCTGTCACTAAAGGTAATAGAAACCTACAATAGTAGGTTTCCCTAATATCGTTATCATAACTATAGGCACTGTAGCATTATCCTATCTATCCAAGATGGTAGGTTAAAGATTTTTCCTAAAAGGGGTTAGATTACTTGTAAAGACGTAACTTTCTGCCATTTCATACTAAAACTACTATGTGATGCTCACCCACCTCCAATGTTTTGAAAATCGGACCAGACCGGCCAGTTCGACCGGTTGAACCGCGAACCGCCATGGCACCGGTCCGGTTCAATGCTACAGTTGATTTTGTCAGAAAATCGGTCAAGAATCGGTCGAACCGTAAAAATCGCGGTCGAACCGCTATTGAACCGATTTTCAACCTTCCCTTTTTTTTTTTTGTTGCAAAATGCAACTATTAAGATTCAAACTCAAGATCTTTGTAATAGATGACCAATGTATTAACCGTTGCACCATCACATCCTATTAGTTTTTTTTGATAACTTATTTATATAAAGTAAACATTCATATTTCTTTTTTCCATTTTTCTTACAAAATCTCATCCTCTCATGGTTCTTTCTTTTTAATTTTCAACACTCTCTCTCTCTCTCTATCCTCTTTTTTTCGTCACTCCCTTTTTAATCAAACCTCTTTATTTTTAATTTATTGATGTTTTCTTTCATCTTTTAATTTTGTTTTTGTCCATTAAATTGAAAAAAGTTCAAAAAGAATTATTTTTTTAACCCAAATTATTTAATGCTACAACCACTCACTTTTATCTCATTTTTTGTTTCTTATCAAGTTTACATTTCTATTTTCGATTTTCTTGACTTCCTTCGAACTCCAAACTTCCTTTTTTAAATTGCAATCTCTAAAATGTAAATTAAAATTTAATTTCACAATATCTAAATTCTCATAGACGTGAATTTTGTATAATTTCAAAATATTGTGATATTTGCCCACCTCTAAGTGAGTAATTGCCCACACCAATCCTTCTTGGTCTTGGCTTACGCGTAAGCAGCAACTAAATTATAGACAATGGGGTCAATCATAGACAATGGCATGTAGCCGTGTCTAGAAGTAAGTAGGTAGTACTTATTTGAATTGACATACTGCTACTAAATTGCATTGATGTCACAAAATGGTAATCGTGCACGCTAATAATTTGTTTCTTTCACTCCTAACCTGCTAGATATGATGAACCAATGGTTAGCATCCTATTAAAATTCGCTTTTATGGACCATTACCATGTCCTCATATTTATTCTTCTTCCTTCTTTTTTGGAAATTGAATGGAACTGTGACATACTTTTGTACGTGTTGTGAATTTGTGGTCTTGGTAATTTTGATGGGTTATGAATGAAATTCAAAACATTTCCAAAGTTTCTTTTTAAAAAAAATAAATAAAATAAAATTTTAATTATTTGGCTTCAAATGAATTCAATTGATTAGGTGGGATAGCCGTGCTTCTGTTGTATTGCGTGAAGGAGATGTCTTCAATTTAGTGGCATTGCTACGTTTTAGTCCTCCCTATCCAAAAGGACCACCTGCAGAAGACGAGTGGATTGGACTTCAAGCCATATCTCCCTCGTTACAAGTCCCAAGACGAGTGGGAGCAGCATTTTGGAGACCAATGGACTAGATTCAAGGATAGAAAAGCCTGTTTCGATTCCCTGGCAATATATATATATATATATATTTTTATTATTATTATTTTTTTTACCAACAACAATACATTGTATAACCTACTCTGTCTTAATCTAAAGAAAGGGGGACCTAAAGAGACTTGTGTTAGAAACTAGTAAATATACAGATCCAATTAAATCAAAAAAATACTATGATAATACTTTTAAATTTTTTTTTATTACAATTAAAATTTAAACCCTTGCCTACAATTTAAGGAGGGACTGCTGACCACTACTTGCACCTGGAAAAATTGCCCACATAATGTCTATAATTGCCCACACCAATCTTTCTTGGTCTCACTCAAGATCTGGTCCTGGCCGGTGACAGATGCCAGCTCCTCAGCAGTTAAAACTTTTTCCAAGTGTACGAATCTAAAGTCCAAATCATACAAAATCTCAGCGGCCATTGCTGCCGTATAGCATCATCATGTTGTCAAACTAAAGCGAAGGGTCCTATATTGCATCCAAAGTAAAACCAACCCAAAATTATTTTTTCCGGCTTCTCTTGGAATGGAAGTTAATGTCTAATTATTTACACATCCACACATGCACTTCACCTATTTCGGTCACCACGAATCTTCGACGTCACTTATTGTACCGTTCACTTTCTCATAGTGTATTACATTGCTATCTATCCTTCACGAACTTCCTCAAAAAGTAAAAAGGGGAAAAAAAAACATAAGATAAAAAGCAAACTACAGCAAATCAAAAAACAATATATGAAAAAAATAAAATAATAAAAGAAATTTCTGTTAGGGTGGTTATCTAAATCTAACCACCGGTGAAAACCATCACCTTTAAACCCAAGATCTGTATGGCGATTATTAAGAAATAAATTAACTGTAAAATAGCGGAAGCGTACCTGAATCCATATTGATAAACTTGATACTTGAATCCCTTAGATGTTTAGGGTGACCTTCCAGGTCAACAGGTATTCACTGATCCTTTGAGAGAGGCCTTTAGTTTATCTCTGATATCTTTCCTGACGATGGGATATCAGAGAAGAGATATTTTGTGGTATTAGGAAATACGACAACTAAAACGATACCTGTGACCTGGGGACCATAACCCTATTTATAGGTAACATTCCTGTTACCTTTGGAGCCCTATTTCAGCCCATCATTGAAATAGGAGCTCATAAGTTTCTACACATAAAAGGGCCCACATCCTATTAGATACATTAAATCCAAACTATATTTGATTACTTTAATTGAGTTTAACCTTAATTGACAGTTTGCAATACATAATTATTTACATATAAGTCCAATGTTGGATTAAGGATACAACAATTTCTATACAAGAACATTCAGAAAGTGAGACAGAAGTTATGAAATTGGAGTTGGAGTTCGGCAAATCTCTTAAACTTCTACTAAAGGAGGGAGAGCTATAGCTTCTATCTCTCCTTTTTATTTTCTTCAATGATTGAAAATAGATCTCTTGGTGGGAGGTCCTTTACGAGGGGTCCTGATTGACAAACGTAACAATTCGTTTCATCAAAACCCTGGCACGCTCAGAAGTGGGGTTAGGCAGATGAAAGCAATGTCCCTCCTCTTCAGTCTCCATCATTTCCAATTCTCCATCCCATCTACTTTTCTTCAATGCGCTGTAGTAAAGCAAACTTCTCTCTCTTATGAAATCCTTCTCCGCTGTTAAAACCAGGACCCTTTTGCAAACAAGCCTCGACAACAGATCAGGATGCGCCATAGGATGCAACCGGGGATCATCACAGCTGATGCTGCTATCTGGGGCTATGCTGGAGAAAATCTTATCAGGCTTACCATCACCAAAAAAGGGATGCACCAAAATCATCCCCGCGATCTTTACTTCATCCCCTGGTCCAATTTTTTCACTGGCCCTGACCATTACATCATGTGCAATATTAGCTCCAGCACTGTCACCTGCCAAAAAGATTCTAGCAAAATCGGCATGGTTATTGATCCACGCTTCAGGACCCTGTGCAGAGCTAGCATGTGCAAGAACCCATTCGAATGCTATCCAAGAATCATCATAGCATGCGGGGAAAGGATGCTCCGGGGCTAGTCTGTACTCGATGGAAACAGCAATCGCCTTGGCTTCAGCTGCTAGGGAGTTAAGGTAGGGATGGTATACACGAGAAAATGCTGATTCAATCACAAAAGCACCTCCGTGGATGTAGATTATGATGGGAAGCTTTTCATCAGGAGTGGTGGTTCTGGGAAGGTAAAGGCGGACTGAAACGTTATTCTCAGGTGGAATAAGGATATCTTTGGATTTGACGCCTGTTTGGGGATCCTCTGACGGCGGGGTGTAGGGGAACTCTGTGAATCTCTCTATCCGGCCATCCTTGTATACACGAAAGTAGGGATGGGCGTCGTGATGCACCTCGGTTGATGGTGTTGAGTCCATTGTTGGAATTGATGGAAGGAGAAACGGAGACGGAGGCAAGTATTTGGACTTGTGATTTACGCTTATAGGATGTTATCTAACTGCTAGATAAGGACACCGGTGGTTTCCAAGACCCTTTCCGCCGTTCTCGTTCCCCGTGCACACCACGTGACTCAATTTATTTTTTAACCACCGTTTGATTGGGAGGTTTTGTACCCCCACAATGGGAATAAGAGGGTAATGAACTCCCATTGATAGTATCTGGTAGACCACTGTGAGGGGCGCTCGGTTCTAGCTTGGGAAATAGAAAGGGAAATGGAATAATGGATAAAGGGCTCACTAACTAGAGTTTTGGTCAATTTCTCCCAATTTGGCCGGGAATCATGAACGGCCAAATTTTGAGGCATGATTCTAATATTTTAATTTTTATTGCATTGGACCAAGCGCGTAGTATTGAAATTATTGTAATTTCAAGTACCAAAACCTCTGAACTAAGTGATTTTCCAATACCCAAAACCCGTTGCCCACCGATTTGTGCATCCGATCCTTAGCCTCCTTAAGGAGTTTTCTCACTGGGTCTCACTTTAAAAATTTAACATTTGTAACAACGTTAACATCCGACAAACAAATTTTTTTTTTCATTATAAGAGTAGTGACTTTTTAGAATTCCAAGTCAAGTAAATCACAGTTATTTGAGAGTGGTTTTTTAGAATTCTAAGTCTATTACAAATTTTCAAATTAAAAAAAAAAGGTGTAAAGAGTGACAGAAAAAATTGGATGCTGAGAGAATTAAGAATAATTATGATTGTGGATTTAGGGTTTATAGATTTTTATTTGATGTGATTTCTCGTTATTGATGCATTGACTGATTTTGTAATATTTAAGAGGAGGGAATAGCTAAATAGATTTTGATGTAGGATTGGATTAACGAGAAATCACGTGAATTGTTACAAATATCAAATTTTTAGAGTGAGAGCCGGTAAAAGAGCTCCCTAATTAAGGGGGCTGAGGGTCGGATGCACAAATTTGGGCACTTTCACTTCTTGTTACCCACATTCTAGAAAAAGATCTAAATCAAAGCAAACTTGAAACGGAAAAAAAAAAAAAAAAAAATACGAGAGAGAAAAAGAACGTATATCTTTCTTCCTCCTCCCTCCTATGTATCGCTGCATTTTCTTCCCCCATCCTCCGCCCTTGCCCCTCTACTTCATCCCTCACTTCTCCCACTCTCCATACTCCCACTGCTCCATCTCCAGCACTTGCTCTTCTACTTCATCTTTTGCAGCTTCCCTTCCATCCCTCTCACAACGCTAATTAAGTTTTTTTTTTAATAGAGTTTTGCATAACAAATTTGTAATTGGAATGAATGAGTTGGTTATCTACGAATCATTTGCAGGACGCCACAGAGTTGGATCCTGCAGATTTAACTACATCATATAACATAAGATCTACCTTAGAGAAAACATATATAAGACATGCAAAAAGAATATATGTCAAGATTTATTATTGGGTAAGCATAAGTCATATTTTGTTGTGATTCATAAACATCACAGGTACATTCTCTCGTTCAAGATTAAATAGTAAGTGATGTTCAATGTTAATTAATTAGGATTATTAGCTTAGATAGCATGAGGTTTGTGATAAGGTTTACAGTCTCCTCTTAAAACGGAAAAAAATCTACCAATGCAGGTAGTAAATCAAGTATACATAAGTATCTTCTAGATATTATGCACACTACAAGAAGAAAGCTGGCGCAGTGCAATCTCAATGAACAGGTCACGAATGGCCATGTTGGGGTTGATTATGGTACAAGGCTTGTAATTAATTACCCTAAACTTATATTACTTCGGCCATCTCTCTCTATTGGCAGCCCATCCTGCGAATGTGTGGGCTATGGGCTCAACATTTTCTCGTTGGAGGGCCATTTAGTCAAAACCAGGACTAGGTTTGGGGCCTAGGGCTTTCCCACAAGAGGGCCTCTGTATTTCGTGGAGGAATGCTAGAAGAGAGTATATGTTCTACTTTGACTAAACTGAAAATGATCCAAATGTATTTATTGAACTCGCTTCCTGCAATTTTTTGTTTGTTTGTTTGTTTGTAATTCTTCTCGAGTACCTATTCATTTATTTTAAGACATGAACTGGCAAATGCCTAAGAAAACTGTGGAAAAAAGGGTAGTAACACAACTATTTCATTCTAATAATAGAATTTTGCATCATTAAAAGGTGACTTAAAGTAGAATGAGTTCAGCACTTTAATTTAGACTTTGCTCGTGGGTGAAAATATTACAAGCCTTGTAACTCAGTCTCCTTTTGGAATTTCTCACTTATATTCCTGCTCCGGTACTGCCCAACTCATTCCTCCCCTGTAACTCATTCTCCTTAATGACCAAAATATAAAATTTTGGATTTTGCTTATTTTTCAGATTAGATAAGTGAAAACGCTGGTAGTATGATAAAGCTTTTGGCCTCTAACAGCCCAAAAACAAGAAACAAGAGACTAAAACTGTAGATTTCAGCTGATTCAAAACCAAAAAGGGAAAAGAAAAAAAAAAAAAAAGCAGATGAGCACACGCATACATAAATTGTCATTGAAAGAGAATCCAAAGCTTCATTTTGTAGGCCTTTGTTAATTGCTTTTGTCAAATGCTTTTTCTTTTCCTCTTTCATATAAAGCTATAATTCAGACAGAATTGATGCTTCTTTCTTTTGCCCACCCCTTACCCCCCATCTTTTGGCATCCACAACTAACTTGGTAAAGAAGACTCCTAAAGCCTTTGACTAGTAGCTCATAGAAAGATGGTAGCAACATGAGCTCAAGAAGGGAAAACCACAAAAAAAAAGGTACACCATTTTATGTTTATGATTCATTGCTAACAGTAAAAAGCAGAATGATCATGAATATTTGTCAATGCTATAAGCAAGAAACAACAAAGAATGCATGTTACGTCATGATTGCACAGTCTTGGAAAAAGAATCACATTTAGAATTACAAAGGGTTTTCGACTTGAACAATGAAAAAAAGGTCTTTTAATGAAGGTATTCTTGGGAGTGAGAATAATGTTTTCCATTGGCCAAGTGTTAGGCCCAAAAAAGCAAAAGGCAAAACCTGATAAGTTAAAGGTGAAGAAGATATGGATAGGACAAGTGGAAAATTAACCAGATAATTCATGGATGATTTGTAAAGGGATTGCAAGTAGAAGAAAAAAAAATGTAGAAGACTACTTAGCATGTAATTAAGATTAGCTTCACCAAAATAATAATCATATTAAGAATACCTAGCTAGATATTGCATTATAAACCCTCTTAATGGGTTTAATATCCTTTTACATTCTCATCATCAAATAATCAAACCAACAATAGACATAAATTCCCATGGCAGAAGAATAAGATATGGGATGCAACCTTTATGTCGTTATTGGTGACATAGATCAGGCACGATAATGGAATAACATGAGGCATTTGAATTTTTGACATTCCCCGTGAGTCTCCTTTTGTCTTTATTCTTATTCTCAAGAAATTTTGATTTCCCATTGGGCTGACAACCTCTAATTTTTTCACCTAAACCAACTATGCTTGTAGCTTTTGTTACATGTCAACAGAAAGCACTGTTCTTTTCTGTTGTGGGTATTAGAATTTCAACCATTTATAATGTAAAAGTGAAAGAGCTAAAAAGGAAAAAGAATATTTAATTTTGGGCAATTCTTGCTGAAATGTTCCTTTCCAAACCATGTAAAAAAAATTTCGATTGCAAAAGATATGTCTTTTTAGGTTAAGGAAATAAATACAACTTTGCTAAAAGGAATATTGGTAAAGATGAAAAAAATAAAAAGCTAAAGATGGCTCTTTCTCCAACTGCAAGAAAAAGAGTGAAAAGAGGAAAGAAAATAAACGAATGTTGTAACTTTATTGGGAGGCGCATAACATTATCTAAAGCTTTGGCTGCAGGGAATTTCTTGGGACAATTAGTGCCTCATGTATCTTCCAAAATAATGGGCCATCCAAACAAATCACATGTATTTGTTTTTCTTCCACTATTACTTCCTCCTACTTAATTAACTTTTACGCAACAAAATAGTTGCTTCCTACTTCATAGTTGATTAAACCTCAAAATCTTCGACAGCAATAAATGAAGAGATGAATACTTATGATAAGTACTACAGCCACTATTTTAACAACAAAAAGTGATGCATAAGGGTCGTCAGAAATATGATTAGGAGTGAGGCAGTAGTAAGTAGATTGTTCATTGTCTCATGATGACCAATTGATGAGTACTTTAGAAAATGAAGAATACCTGGAGACCCATGATTCTGACTGCACAGTTGTCTTGCCTGTAAAGACTACCCGATGGATAAAGATAAGAATAAGAAACAAAAGCATTTATCGAAAGCAAAAGGTGCCCAGCTGCTTATGTCCCATTGCGGGAGCGGTTATCTCCTCACACACACACACACACACAGACACATAGACATTGTTAAACCAATCACTGCTGCAGTGTAGGATTAGGTTTGATAGAACAAGATTAAGGGTTGGTTTGATAACATAAAAGATTACGATAAATGAATCTAAATAAAACACTTACTGGTGAGGTCATGGTTGAGCATTGAAGCTACATCATTTCATTTATCAAATGTTTAGAGGGCAAGTACTAAAATCAAATTGATTTCATGGTTGAAATGAAGCTACACCATAGCTCTTCGCAGACTGACTCAAATTTGTTTCATTGAGGGATGAAAGAGTTGAATAGATTTGAATCTTAAACCACTTTTTCTACATCCAAAATTTCATGCACGACAATATTGAACCCTTTTCTAGTTGTACGTACTCACAGAATAAATGGTTGACAAGCAAGTTGTAAAAATACTCAAACTACTTTCTCAAAAATCCAAGATTTGTGCAGCAATTGATGTGGCCTTTGCAAAATCAAGAATAACGCACATATACAACATCTCTTTGAATTTGTCCACGGATCTGACAAAAGGTAAAGCATTATCTAGACAATTTAGAGTGCACGTATATTTCCAGACCCAAGAGAACAAGTGAGTAATTATCCACATGTCTCGAACATTGCATGTCTCTCCTCACCTTCTTCAGTTCTTTGAGCAAATCTTCATTAATTTAGTGCTTGTCGGGAAGCAAATCCCCTCAGCTGCTGTAACGTCCAAGATGGGCTCCTCATTTTCTTGGCAAATTTCATGTCAGTCATTCCTGTTGGCACTAATGATCGTACATTAGATAAGGACTAAAATGGATAAGACGTGGTGTCCATCATTCATGCTTTTTACTAAACTCAACACACCTTATGCCCAAGGCTGCTTAGCTTAGTTCGACCAATAAGTAGCTGAGGAACAGTCTTAAAAATTTAAGGAGTGTGCCATATTTCAATGTTGTGATAAGTGGAAAAGGTATTCTAAAATGCCACCAAAAGTCTTTCCTAAAGAGACAATTAGTGCAGAAAACGT